GTCCTTTCCAACCCTTAACTATTCTATGATTAACAAGAGGCATTGCCTTACCTGCCATGCAGTGAGGCAGGACGTGCACATCAGATGGCCACATGGTTCAATCTTCACATCCTTGTCATTTTCAGCACATATTTTACACAGCTGAAACGTGGAGCCCATCTCGCAATACAATTCATATTGTTCCTTGGGGAGAGACAGACATACACGGTTAATACCGTAAACCCAACACAAGAACACAATGAAAGGAGAACAGAGGTCTGCAAAGATTTCACTATAATTTTATGTACCAGATACATATGTCAAGGTCTGAAAAGAACGGACTTCAAGCTAGCCCAGATTTTCATTTAGGTGTCTCAAAAGCAAGGCTCAAGACATGCTGAATGGCACAAAAGCATGAATATTTGCCGGAACATTCTAAAAACAAAACTGTCAGCCCTGCTTAAAGCTTTACCTAACCTCTGCAATCTCCTCTGCTCATTCCTACCATTCACAGATTTCTGCAACTCCTGTAAAACACATCATCCTTAAAAACAAGTCTTGGGGATACCAAGTAAGACAAACAGCTAAGAAGGCTAGAAAATAGGAAGAAAGTTAGCAAGTCTGATGGGACAGAATACTTTGCTCACCTGTGTAACTTTAATGTGGTCCTGAGGTGTGGGCTCACACAAGCCAGTCAAGTCAGGATTCTGATTCCGGCCATCGGGAAATAAATAACTATAAGCAGTTGGGGGAAAAAACAGATCTCTTTCTCTGTGTGTGCATATACACACCTGCATACACACACACACACACGAAGGCACATATAAGGTTTCTTTCGGGGATGGTGGAGAAAACAAAGAATGGTGGTGAGAAGGAAGTGAGGGGTGGGAATTCAAGGTATTCTGAATTCAAAAGAAGATTCGGAAGAATTTTACTATGGGACAAAACCCAAATATATCATTCTTAAAAATCAAAGCTAAGCTTGCTTTCCTTCCTGACAATTTTCCTTTTAAACTGGATGTTATGGTCCCAGACTACTCTTGTTAAACCATCCTGTAGTGAAACTGTAATATCCATAGTAATAAAACTCATACCACAATATAAGTTGCAGTGGCTCAAATTAGGGACTTGACTGGGAAAGAATCTATGACAAGGGAAACACTGATGCACACTTATCATCTGCTACTGCAAAAGATAGTACAGCTCTCCAGTGAAAAAGATACCCACCTGGGTATTCTCAAGTGCCAAAGCAGTTAAGTGTATGAATTACTCCGCTGACACCAGTGGGACTATTCATGATTGAATTGTTTTGCTGAATCAACAACTAAATAAAAAGGAAGAGCCCAGAGATGTCCAAAAGGGGCTCAGTGATTTCAAGAGTGACTGTTTTTTTGACTTCTGCAACATGCTGCCTCTCCTGTGATTATCTGTGATAAACCCAGAAGGTTCATTTTACCATTCAACTGACTTTTAAGACCTCACCACAGGATTAAGATTTATAGAACAAACAGTGCAAAAAGGCAAAAAACTTTATTTTGATACAGTTACTTACAAGCCTTCCCTGAAGCCATCAATCAGTGCTTGAAAAAGAGGTTTGTTGTGGGGGATTGTCTGAAGAATGTTCCCATCTGCAGTGACATAGCCAATGGCCCACTGACCAAGTCGTGTACAACTCAATCGGAAAATGTAACTAAAAACACACAAAGGAAAAGAAACTTCAGTTTGGACTGGAACAGACAGAAAAGATTAAATGTCAAGTAGGCAGCCTTTGTCCAGCTATTTCAAGACAGCAAATGAAAAACTAGTAGGAATAACCTGATGATTTATACCAGCTTTCCTTAATTAACCCCCAGGCAGATCAAAGGAGAAACTTGCAATCTGATATGAAATGAGAAGGCATCCAAGCACTGGCCTCCAGGTGAAATTAAACCCAGAATCCAGAGCAAGAAAAGTTTGCATCCTTAAAATAATTTGTTTGAAATTAACTTTAAAAAACCCCAACAAACAACAAAACCAACAAACAGACGACACAAAGTTTCCATTTTTAAACCGACACAGAATTAACCACATTGTAACAACTTCCAGAAATTAACACTTGGCTCTTCCTGCAGAACCGAAAAGCTGTTAGCCCTGTTGCATTGAGCCAAGTTCTACTGAGGACATTAGGTAGCCCAAAACTATTTAGGTCCACAGCCACCCCAGAAGCATGTGTTGTCCCCCAGAGCCTCTGAAGTGTCCCCAGCCTGCAGCATTACCTTGCAGCCTACTCTGTCCACCATGCTGCTTTCTGCCAGAGCAAACAGTGGTCAGCTGCTTTGTCCGCCTGAAATTGGCTTCAAATGATGCTCTGAGAGCTGCAATCTGCTCAGCTCTCCTGATTTTATGTGTATATATCAGAAAGTTATGGGGCCTATAGATACATGCCCTTATTTATGGTCCTAAATGGCCCATTGTTTAGGCTCACTCTGGCAATGTCTGCCTCTGTCCTGCTCATGCCTGAGGGAGCTGTTGTGACAACTGGGGGGTGAGCAGGAGGTAAATCACCACGTGGAGGATCATCTCTGAATAAAAGGCAAGCTAGGGTTTGTCACAGTTTAGGTTTCTGAGGAAGGAGGACAAAGACAAAACAAAACCAATCTCCTCAGTCGCTGCAGTAATCAGTGATGTTAGCAAGAATGATCAAACAAGCCGCTGCTGCCAAGCACTAACCTGCCAGGTTTGTGAATGAATTTCTGCAGCCGGGCTTTCACCTCATCATACGTTAGGAATGCCATATAGCCAGGATGAGTCACTGCTAGACTGTTCCAGTTCCTGAGCAAAGAGGACCATGGCTATAGAAACAACAAAGAGGTATATTAACCATGCGCTTCTAAAAGGTATCAACACATACGATACTCCTTAATCAAAGGGGTCAGTTCTTCAGTTAAAGCAGCAGGTTTCTTAGGCACCATAAATCCAGTAGAGGAACTAAAACCTACATTCCCAAGCAGTAGCCTTAGCACTTGAGTTTCTTGTCGGTGATAAAAACATTACTTAAGATAGACCTTAATCAAAACTCCTTTAACAAATGCTAGTCACTGAGGTCACAAAAAGACAGCTCAACAATAGCAACCAATTTGTACTGCTTCTGCAGAGAAAATGACTCATTCCTGAGACAGGGATAAAGATGGGAGTTTAATAAGATTATGCACAGGACCAGAAACCATGACTAGTCCAATCTCTAACAACAACTTCCTATATGGCCTCAGGAAAGTGACCTCCCCTCTCTGTCTCAGTTTCACTGTGTGTAAGATACTTGTGACTATTCCTTAACCACTTAACCTCACTTGGGTGTGGCAAGGATTACTGGCTAGTTTAAGATTTGAATAAATAAACCAGCACATACATGTTAAATATTCCTTAGAATGATGCAGAAAAAGCTGTAACAACCGGTTGAAAGCTTTCAATCCTGAGGAGGGTTTGGGTGTCTAAATCTCATCCAATTTTTCCAAATTTCTCAACTCATCTAAAAGAAGATATTAGCTCTCCCCAAGAACTTTGCACCTCTGAGAAACTGCAACAACTCTTAACTTGCTTTTTATGTACTATAGCTGGAAAAAGTACTGAATGAGATCAGCTACACTGCAACACTGAACATGGGAATTTTTCATCTAGACGTATCTTAATTACAACCCACCCTATCACATGGGAAAAGGCAAGTCAGAGCCAAAGAAGTGTTTGTTCTTGTAAATACCCAATTGTGCCATCAGAAGCTGCATTTTTGAGTTTAGCACTATTAAAGACTGTCGGTTAGAATTTTAACTACTAGTGATAAAGATATTTCTCCTGCACAGAACACAGACATGTCCACAATATCCTGGCTGTGTCAGTTCTAAAGCTAGGAAGCCCTAACTACCATGCCTGTGCTCCATCCGGAACAACCCCCATGGAAAATAAATCTGACAAGAAAGCAAAGGACAAAGTGATAAACGAAGCTTCACATTTCCTGGCTTACAGAAGTTGTGTCAGAACTTGAGTCTGAAAGTGACCTTTGAAAGGGAAAAACTGATTCACGGGAGGATAATGAATGTGCCTTACTGTTGCAGTATATATTTAGACAATTTTTTCTTCTACAACCAAAAGTATCACACGCTTTTACTGCAATACAGGGTCCTAAATATTACTACAGCTATTTAGGGGATGAAGGGCAAGATACCAAATCCCTTACAGCATCAATCATTTTAGTGTGTAAAATATAGTTTGCCCCAGGAAAAGGGTCTAACCTGATGCACTGAGAAACATTTCAAGTGATTCACGATCCTCAACTCTTACCTGAAAAAGTCGTGTGAAGATATCAAATTCAAATACTGAAATGTAGTCATTGCACGTCAAGTCAATCGTTGACTTCAGGGCCATGGCTTCCAGCCCTGAACTGATTGGATGCACTTCATGCAAGGCCTGGCGGAAGCTTTTCCAAGGAACAATAGTCCTGGGGAAAACCAAGCCATGTGTAAATGTGATGTATCTGAAGACCACCACCATGTACATTTTACACTTTTATTGTGAGTATGCACCTCAGGATAATGAAAGAGAGGAAAATCAGAATTAGCCACGAGAGATTCATTCATGTTGTGCAAGCACAGATTTCTTAGTACTGCAGTAAATTAGCAGCCAAATGAACAATTTTCTCTGCATGTGCAGAATTTCTTAAGTCCAGTTCTGCTTTCTCCTTTCTCTTTTTCTGCACTCCTATCATTTCAATGCCTGTATGTACCCTGGGCTGTATAACATGCTATCACTTGGTAAGAGTTTCATAATGTTGTGCCTGGTAGGGAAGAAGTTCACATTTAGTCTTTAAGTAGAGGTCTATAAAGTTAAAAAAAAAGGAGAGAAAAAAAGCTGCAAGCAAATCTGTAAAGAGGGATTAACTGGAGACATAAGATAATCAGAAGCCAATGACGAGGTTCCTGTTTAAAGGAGTATTTCAAGTGGAATATCAAGTGGAATATTTCAAGTGGAATATCAAGTGGTATACAAACATAGAAAGAACATGCCTAGCTTCAGGCATGTTCTTCATGAGTAAATATATTATTGCTTTTTGTTCTGACAGCTACTAATTAAACTCTTTATGTGAAGTACCTTAAGTTACCTTAGGTAGAAAGCAGTACCCAAATCCGTTAATTTTAATCCTCAGACATTGCTTTGGACACATCTACAGTTAATTCAGTCAGCTTTCAATACATACAAAAATTAAAACTGAGATTTCAACCGTTTGCCCTTCACTTTGTCCTTCATTCTATCTTAACAAAGCCATTATGCAAACTGAGAGAAGTTCAGAGAAGCCAGAAGAAAGGTGACTAAGTGATTAGCAAAACTAATTGGAGGGAAGATGAAAAGAATTTAATAGAATGGCTTAGCTAAAGGACAACTAATATTGCAGACTGGTAACCTTTGGAAGAAGAAAGCAGATTATTTTGCATTGTTCCTGAAGCTTACATACAAGTTAAGGAATTAAATTAAGGAGGAGAAAATTCAAACTGAATAATCAAGGCAAATTCTGTGACAGTACAAGAGTCTCCTAGGGAAAGTGGGGAAAGACCCATCACCTGCCACATTTAAAACCAGACAGGACAAAGAACTAGGAAAGAGAATGCAGGAACAATCCTGTATCTCACCCCAGAGAGTGGACCAAATGACTAGTAGGTCTCTCCCATTGTTCATTTTAACCTTACAAAGACTTTTCTGAACAGCTTTTAAAAATACACACTGCTGTGTGCAATTTGCTCCCACAACTCTATTTTTAATCACAGTTAGAAACTTACTTTTCACCAAAAGCCTTTCTCCAAAATTCTGCAGCATCTGCCTTGGTGATCCGGAACGTGTCTCCCTGGAAAAGGCCACTTGGGAAAATACCTTTGAGTTCTGCCAGCATATGGCTGAATATCAGGGATAACTTTGTCAGGTTACGCCTACAAAGGAACACAAAAACCCAAACATTTCTTGCAGAAAAGACAGATGTGGTTTAGCACTCTGAACAAAACAGAAATGGTACCTACTGTAATTCAAGAAGAATCCCAGCCTAGAAAACTCCTCTTGCTCGGGACCGTGTTTACCCAGCATTCAGAACACATCCACCACAACATACTTATCAGCAAGGTCTGTGATTGTGAAGACATTTCCCACAAAGACTAACTTTGCAGAATCTCTTTGAGGTGGGCAGGTTATTTCCACAGCGAACCCACCCAAGAAAACACATGCACAGAAAATGTCCAAAACCGGTATTCAGACCTTACCTATTACTTTAATAACTGCATCATCAGAGCCAAAACCTCATTAGACTCCTTTGTTCTTGGGTCTGAAAATTCCCTATGAGAGCACATAAAATTACTACTGCCTTGGACCATGTAAGCTGAACGTCCTTCCAAGTCTCCAAAGGGTCCCAACACAGTAGATTTGCTCAGGTAACTTCTAAGTGATAATAACAGGTCCAGCACCCAAGGGAAGATTGAAACACCTGCAGTTTTTATCTAAAATGGTAATAGCTTACATACAAAAGCTTGATGGTCCTTCTTCAAAAGCTTGAGAATCCTTCTCAACCATATTGTACTGAGTAATTATCCAATTTGAATCACAAATCGGTACGGATCCCTTCTCTGCCTAATCACACTCATGTATCTGAAGTGCTCTAGTGACCAGGTTATGTCCTTTTCTAAACTGAAGAGGGAAAATTAGAGGAGAAGAGATACTTTCTGCTTCAGATTTAGTCAACATGCAAAGCATTTCCAGAAGTAGAAGACAGGAGGACTACTGCCTAGCAGAGAGGTCATAGCAGCAATAGGAGCAACTACATAAGGAGGTAAGCTCTATGTTGTAACTGTGCTATGCAGAAATAACGCTAGCTTGGGTACCTCAAAGCATCAGTGCCTGTCGCAGTAGAAGAATACCAAAAATAAGAGTCTTCCTATTTAGGAGTCAAACAATAGCATTATTACACACTACAGAGGTAGTCTTCTATTCATAGATGGGAAAAAAAGTCACGAGTGGCATCTATTTGTATTATTCCTTTATCCAAATAAAGGATAATTCTCTTCTTTTCCACTCCATTACATCATCTAGATGCAAGGAAAATGTAGTTCCTGAAAAGAGACAGGGATATTTCTAGGCCAGAGACCTTTTTCACCCCCATGTCACATGCCTGAAGGTAAAAGAAGGAACTAGTGTCATGTGGGAAAGGACAACCTCTGAGTTATATCCAAAGGACCGGAGATGGTCAGAAGATTGCACAACCACCAAGGCGTTGCGTGGAGTCAGTTATGAGACTGCACAACAAGTTATTTTACAGACTGCAAAATACTGAACCATTCAGAGAGGGGTTAGAAGCATCCCCAGTTGCACAGCATTTTCTTAATGCCTTGTTTTCCAGATTCTCTCACTGCACATGTTACTACTGTAGTGTGCCACCGCCCCTAAGACAGCTGCACTTGGCATCAAACTATGCTCCCCCCAGGTTTCAGACTTTCACCAACTTCTAGTTGGATTGGTTCCTATTTACTTAATCTTGGACATTTTTCAGATACCTCTTACTCCAGATACGCTATTCCTACTTGAAGTACTTATTCTGTTAATCTATCTGACTGCAGAACTGACCCCCAGCTATTGATAACTGCCTCCAGACTTTCTGTAAAAAGTCTCTGGACATTTGGGCTTTGGTCTTCTAGCTCCATATCACACTTTCATACAGTCTAAACTCAACTGGAAGTGGTATACTTTACTTGACATTTATTCTGTTTTTTACTCAGCTCCATGTGAGTTCTTTCTCCATGCTGTGATAGAGTCTGGGAAGACCAGAAGGTACACATGGCTCAAAATTGTAAATCTTTGACAGCAGCTCTCGTTCCTTACGCTCATTTATTCAACTACATTTCGTGTCTCAGCAATGAAGGCTGCTTGAAGTGTTTATAGAAGGTGTCAGCTACACAGCAAAGGGCTCTGGTTTTTGTCATTTCATGCATGACCAGTAACAACAGGTGCTCAAGATTAACAATGTAAAACCATGAAGATGTTCTTCTGTCAGCTGCTCCATTCAGCACCTCTATACTGGATGTGTTACACATTCAAACTGTGTGTGTTTTAAAGCTGCTGTATGATTTGGTTGTTTGATTCCATAAACACAGGCCAAAAGCTGTGCTGTTTACCACTCTTCATTAGGTAACTGCCCTGCACAGAGAGGGGCTGACAGAAAGTCCCCTTGCCCTACTAGTGTATCTCAATTTCAAGTCATCTGCTTTTGCAGTTTGTTATACCTTTGGAGCACTACAGTAATTCTTCACCCTCTGCTTTCAGGAAGGTTTGTACAGCATGTCTTAAAACAAACTATACAGGATCTACGTGTAGGAAAAACTAAGCTGTATCAGAACAGCAAAGTAATGGCTTCCTATGTGATCACAATTGCATTTATGAAGATCACTGGCTTAGGACCTAGAATAGATACAAGAAGAAGCTACAGCAGTACAAAACCAGGCTGTTACCTGATTGTGCATCTCCCCAGCCTGGTGTAATGTTAAGTAGTGCAAAGTTGTGTATTCCTCTTCTCAGGAGCAGATAAGCAACTGTGCATTTAGCAGGGAAGGCTCAGATTCCTAGGCACAGCCAGTGGCTAATGCTACAGAGAAGGTGACTTAGTGTAAACTCACAACCCAGCTCCCTCCCTCACCCCCTCCCTCTAGAGGGTAGGTTACCACCATGTCCCTGCTATGCCTCTGGCTGGCAAACACTAGAAAAACTGCACATCAGAGGTTCTAGCTGCAGAGCTTGTTCCCCCAGCTGTCTTTTGAAAGTCCTCACTTCCATAAAATGGCAGAAAGGATGACAGTTTATAGCGGTGCAAGGGAAAAAAAGCAAACACTGTGCTATTACGAATCATTTACAACTCAGGTAAAAAACAGTTTTGTTTTGTTTTTTTTTCCTAAGTTTATAAAAATGGATGATTGAGCAAAACCTGCTGATTATTTTATTACATTAACATAGAAGTAATTGGCAAGAATTAAATTCTGAACACTGAACCATTTGGAGAGGGGCAGGTACCGTGGCACCTCACAGCAATGCATTAATGCCAAGTGACTACAAAGTCAGCAATCCTAAAGCTGTTTAGTTAATGTCTTGCTAGCACTCTCAACACTTGAAAAAATCATGTCCTATTTGTGAAAGATTTCTAAGCGTGCTTGAAACTAATGTATGTAATATCTGGTAGGCGGAAGTCAAGTCATTTCAAACATAAACTCTTCCTATTGCTGCCCAGCAGAGTGTGAAAAACAAGCGCCCATTTCTGACCCTCAAACAAGCAGCTAAGTGGACAAGTGCATCGTTTAAAGTAACAGTTAACACTGTAAGACAACAAGGTATCTTCCCGTGTCCAGTTGCTTATGGCTTCTGCCTTAGAGCCTTCTCCCTTAGCCGAGTTTCATGAAGTGCTTGCACTCAGCTGAGCATATCATTTCAGCAAGAATGAACTTGCACAGGCTTGAAAGGGGATAAACCATTTTACACAGACACACAATGAGGGACTCTGTTTCCAAAGAAGTTTCTAATAACGGAACATCTTCAATTCCATTACAAATATTCAGCTGTATCTTAAATCAACAACAGTAAAAACACAGAAAGTGAACATAAAGAGCAGCAAACTGCAGGCTGTTTAATGTCAGTAACTAGCTTTTACACACAGCAACTAGTTACCAATCCTGTGCTAAAAGTACAAACACTTTCTTTCAGGAGTGCACTCTCTTATTTTAATAAGTTACACAGTTGTAAATTATTACATACCAAATAAGTGCTTGCAATTGCAGTGAACATTTTTTATTGGCATATCAAAGTTTAGTGATTGTGTTTTATTTTTATCAACATCAGCAATTGTCTTCATCTCCATTGCTTCAACTAAACAGAAGGAAGTATTCTCCCAGAAAAAAAGGGTACTATTTTCAATGAACACTTAAGTGACCTAGACCGGAGATTCCCAAACATTTCTGGCCACAGACCTCCAGCAATCTACCCTGTTTCTTATAGCCTATGATGACCCTCTTTCAAACTTTAGCTGAACACAGTAATGAACACAGATACTGTTACCTAGAGCTGCATCAGAGGTATGATAATCGCAGTTTGGGAATCACTGACTTAGTCACCTAAATCCCACTGAATTTAAACACCTGCCATATAAGCACTTGTGGACACATTACCCAGGGACCACAGGCCCTATCAGTTGGCTCTCCTCACTGTTTGCAACTGAGCTGAAGGCAACACCTGCACCAGCTTCAAACACAGAACTACAGCATGCTTCTGTTCAGTGGTTAACATCCACGCAGAGCAACTGCTACAGTTCAGGTAGGATTTCACATTCTTGCAAGTGCTTTCACATATCCATGCAAAGTATTCAGCTTATTATTGTCATATAGTGAGAGAAGGATGGAAGGAAAAAGTGAAAACTCAGAAAGCCAAATATTTTTTCCACTCCATACAGTAGCCAAACATTTTACTAAGAAACATCTGCAGTTCTAGCATAGAGGCATTATTCCTTCCGTACATAGTGTTAACAGAACAGTTCCTTTAACAATGCAGAAACATCACCAGAGCCTTTATAGCTGCAATTACAGTCACCTGTGAAATTGACAGTGCCTTGACACTGTCAGGACTCTAAAAAGCGACCGTTTTGGGGAACAAAACCCAGCATGCAGCAAGACTGTTTCTTCAGTTACCCAGTGGTTATTATTAATCTGCTGGCTCCCCAAGGCCAGGTCTGCTGGTGGCTCTGCGGGCTGAGCAGGCATGTTCCTTCATGCTCCCTCCTCAGTGCCCCCTCCGCTGTGGTTGTGCTACTTCCTTCCTGTTTCATGACTGCGTTTGCTCCACGCATCTTAGCGGAAGTCAAAAGGTCGAGCAGGCACTTCCATTTGCACCACAGTTCTTCGCTGCAGCCCCT